TTCTGAGTTCTGTGTCCCATTGTATATCCCTTAGGAATTTATTCATCTCCTCATAGTTTCCCTTTCGGTATGCCAGCCCTTTGTTTCCCAGTTCTTTTTTGGGGGGGAGATAATTCCTAGCTCAACCAGGTACTCAAAGCTCAATACACTATGATCACTCATTCCCAGCGGGGCTTCCAACTTAACTTCCCTTATATCCGACTCATTTAGGGTAAATATCAGATCAAGCAAGGCTGGTTCGTCCTCTCCTCTCCTCTCCTCTCATTCTTGTCGGTCCCTTGACGTGTTGACTTAGAAAGTTTCTTGTTGCCACGTCCAGCAGCTTAGCTCTCCATGTGTCTGGTCCTCCATGTGGGTCTCTGTTCCCCCAATCTATCTTCCCATTGTTGAAGTCTCCGATGATTAGTAGTCTGGATCTGTTCCTGCTAGCCACAGAAGCTGTTCTCTCTATTATATTGATGGTGGCCATGTTGTTTCTATCATATTCCTGTTTGGGTCTTCTGTCGTTCAGTAGGAAGTTATATATGACTACTACTATAATTTTCTGTCCTCCAGTTGCTATGGTGCCTGATATGTAGTCACTGAAACCTTCACAATTCTGATTTACCATCTCTTCAAAACTCCAACCTTTTCTTATCAGCAAAGCTACACCACCTCCTCTCCCTTCTCTCTCTTTCCTCACTACATAGTAGTCCTGTGGAAACACTGCGTTTGTTATGGTTATCGTTAGCTTTGTTTCTGTGAGTGCTATTATGTCTGGGTTTTCTTCTAGTACCCATTCTCTGAGTTCACTTGTTTTATTTGTAATCCCATCTATGTTAGTGTACATTGCCTTGAAGCTCACTTTCTTTTGTTCATTTTCTAGTCCCCTTCTTGGCGAGCATTCTGGTGGGGAAAGCTGTTTCCTGGGTGAGAAGATGTGTGAGGTAGTTTGCAGGGTCTCAGAGGATTTTGGAGTGGGGTGGGGGTGCAAGGGAAGGGGGGACAGGTAGGGTGTGGGTTAAGGAGATGGGGGGGGGGGCATGAAGGATACGGGGTGAGGGGGAGGAGGGATAGGAAGGGTATGAGATGAAGGGGGAAGGGGGACAGGGGAGGGAAGACGGGAGGGGGGTCATGGTGGAAATGGGGGAGGGGTGATAGGGTCAGAATAGGGTGGGGGGGGGGAGGGAGGGTTGGGTGAGCATTTGGGTAGGGGCAGGTAGGGTAAGGGGAAGGGAGGGTTTCTATGCAGAGGGGGGTGGTGCATAGAAACCCTCCCTTCCCTTCGCCCTACCTGCCCCCACCCAAATGCTCACCCAACCCAACCCCTCCTTTAGTGTGAGTATGTGTGTGGTGTGTGTGTGTGTGTGTGTGTGTGTGTGTGTGTGTGTGTGTGTGTGTGTGTGTGTGTGTGTGTGTGTGTGTGTGTGTGTGTGTGTGTGTACTCACCTAGTTGTGTCTGCAGGATCGAGCATTGACTCTTGGATCCCGCCTTTCGAGCATCGGTTGTTTACAGCAATGACTCCTGTCCCATTTCCCTATCATACCTGGTTTTAAAATTATGAATAGTATTTGCTTCCACAACCTGTTCCTGAAGTGCATTCCATTTTCCCACTACTCTCACGCTAAAAGAAAACTTCCTAACATCTCTGTGACTCATCTGAGTTTCAAGCTTCCATCCATGTCCCCTCGTTCTGTTACTATTCCGTGTGAACATTTCGTCTATGTCCATTCTGTCAATCCCTCTGAGTATCTTATACGTTCCTATCATGTCCCCCCTCTCCCTTCTTCTTTCTAGTGTCGTAAGGCACAGTTCCCTCAGGCGCTCCTCATACCCCATCCCTCGTAGCTCTGGGACGAGTCTCGTTGCAAACCTCTGAACCTTTTCCAGTTTCATTATATGCTTCTTCAGATGGGGACTCCATGATGAGGCGGCATACTCTAAGACTGGCCTTACGTAGGCAGTGTAAAGCGCCCTAAATGCCTCCTTAGGTTTCTGAATGACGTTCTAACTTTTGCCAGTGTAGAGTACGATGCTGTCGTTATCCTATTTATATGTGCCTCAGGAGATAGATTAGGTGTTACGTCCACCCCCAGGTCCCTTTCATGTGCCGTCACAGGTAGGCTGTTCCCCTTCATTGTGTACTGTCCCTTTGGTCTCCTATCTCCTAGTCCCATTTCCATAACTTTACATTTGCTCATGTTGAATTCCAGTAGCCATTTCTCTGACCATCTCTGCAACCTGTTCAGGTCCTCTTGGAGGATCCTGCAATCCTCATCTGTCACAACTCTTTTCATCAACTTTGCGTCATCCGCAAACATCGACATGTAGGACTCTACGCCTGTAAACATGTCGTTAACATATACAAAAAATAGAATTGGTCCCAGCACCGATCCTTGTGGTACCCCACTTGTTACTGTTCGCCAGTCCGACTTCTCGCCCCTTACCGTAACTCTTTGGCTCCTTCCTGTTAGGTAGTTCCTTATCCATGCTAGGACCTTTCCCCCCACCCCCGCCTGCCTCTCGAGCTTGAACAGCAGTCTCATGTGCGGTACTGTATCAAAGGCTTTTTGGCAGTCCAGAAATATGCAGTCTGCCCAACCATCTCTGTCCTGTCTTATCCTCGTTATTTTATCATAGAATTCCAGAAGGTTTGTTAGGCACGATTTCCCTGTCCAGAACCCATGTTGATGTTTGTTCACAAACCTAATGTTCTCCAGGTGTGCAACCAGTCGTAGCCTAATTATTCTTTCCAGTATTTTACAGGGGATGCTTGTCAGTGATACAGGTCTATAGTTAAGTGCCTCCTCCCTATCACCTTTCTTGAAGATCGGCACGACATTTGCCTTCTTCCAGCAACTGGGCAATTCTCCTGACATAAGTGACTCATTAAAGATCATTGCCAGAGGCACGCTGAGGGCCTGTGCTGCTTCTTTTAGTATCCACGGTGATACTTTGTCCGGTCCAACTGCTTTAGTTGCATCTAGAGTTGTCAACTGTTTCATTACCTCCTCTGCTGTCACCTCTATATCTGATAGTCTGTCATCTAGGGTAACCCCTTCCAACAATGGGAGCTGCTCAGGCTCGGTAGTGAACACTCCATGGAAACTGGCATTCAGTGCCTCGCAGATTTCCTTGTCACTTTCAGTATATGCCCCCTCTGTCTTCCTTAGTCTTGTCACTTGGTCGTTCACCGACATTTTTCTTCTTTGTGTGTGTGTGTGTGTGTATATACTGGGTGAGTGGGTGCACTGGATGGATGTGTGAAGTGTGTACTCACCTATTTGTACTCACCTATTTGTGCTTGCGGGGGTTGAGTTTTGGCTCTTTGGTCCCGCCTCTCAACTGTCAATCAACTATTGTACAGATTACTAAGCCTACTGGGCTCTGTCATATCTACATTTGAAACTGTGTATGGAGTCAGCCTCCACCGTGTGTGTGTACTCACCTAGTTGTACTCACCTAGTTGTGCTTGCGGGGGTTGAGCTTTAGCTCCTTGGTCCCGCCTCTCAACCGTCAATCAACAGGTGTGCACGTTCCTGAGCCTATTGGGCTCTATCATATCTACACTTGAAACTGTGTATGGAGTCAGCCTCCACCACATCACTCCCTAATGCATTTCATTTGTCAACCACTCTGACACTAAAAAAGTTCTTTCTAATATCTCTGTGGCTCATTTGGGCACTCAGTTTCCACCTGTGTCCCCTAGTGCGTGTGCTGTCTTTATCTACCCTATCAATTCCCTTGAGAATCTTGAATGTGGTGATCATTCCCCCCCTAACTCTTCTGTCTTCTAGCGAAGTGAGGTTTAATTCCCGTAGTCTTTCCTCGTAGCTCATACCTCTCAGCTCGGGTACTAGTCTGGAGGCAAACCTTCGAACCTTTTCCAGTTTGGTCTTATCCTTGACTAGATATGGACTCCATGCTGGGGCTGCATACTCCAGGATTGGCCTAACATATGTGGTATACAAAGTTCTGAATGATTCCTTACACAAGTTTCTGAATGCCGTTCTTATGTTGGCCAGCCTGGCATATGCCGCTGATGTTATCCTCTTGATATGGGTTGCAGGAGACAGGTCTGGCGTGATATCAACCCCCAAGTCTTTTTCTTTCTCTGACTCTTGAAGTATTTCATCTCCCAGATGATACCTAGTATCTGGCCTCCTGCTCACAACACCTATCTTCATTACATTGCATTTGCTTGGGTTAAACTAACAACCATTTGTTCGACCATTCCTGCAGCTTGTCCAGGAATGTGTGTGTGTGTGTGTGTGTGTACTCACCTAATTGTACTCACCTAATTGTGCTTGCGGGGGTTGAGCTTTGGCTCTTTGGTCCCGCCTCTCAACTGTCAATCAACTGGTGTACAGATTCCTGAGCCTACTGGGCTCTATCATATCTACATTTGAAACTGTGTATGGAGTCAGCCTCCACCACATCACTTCCTAGTGCATTCCATTTATTAACTACTCTGACACTGAAAAAATTCTTTCTAACGTCTCTGTGGCTCATCTGGGTACTAAGTTTCCACCTGTGTCCCCTTGTTCGTGTCCCACCCGTGCTGAAGAGTTTGTCTTTGTCCACCCTGTCAATTCCCCTGAGAATTTTGTAGGTGGTTATCATGTCTCCCCTTACTCTTCTGTTTTCCAGGGATGTGAGGTTCAGCTCCTTTAGCCTTTCCTCGTAGCTCAATCCTCTCAGTTCCGGGACGAGTCTGGTGGCATACCGCTGAATCTTCTCTAACTTTGTCTTGTGTTTAACTAGGTATGGACTCCAGGCTGGAGCTGCATACTCCAGGATTGGTCTTACATAAGTGGTATACAGGGTTCTGAAAGATTCCTTGCACAAGTTTCTGAAGGCAGTTCTTATGTTGGCCAGTCTAGCATATGCCGCTGATGATATTCTTTTGATGTGGGCCTCTGGGGACAGGTTCGGTGTGATATCAACCCCCAGATCCTTCTGGATCTGTGTGTGTGTGTGTGTGTGTGTGTGTGTGTGTGTGTGTGTGTTTACAACATACCTTGCATGATGTAGCGTTTGCTTCTTACGTGGTGGTCTGAGAAGTTTGTGGCAGAGGAGCCGTGGAAATTGTCCCTCACCCCACAGCGAGGAGCACTCATCAGGCGCAGGGTTTCCTCTGTGACCGTCCCTGTCGGTTCCAGTCCGCCCACCATCTGGCCGGCCAGCAGGGAGGTGGGTGGTAAGGAAAGGAAAGGAAAATAGAGAGGACTATTAGGAAAATGAGCATTGAACGGTTGGGGTGGAGAGAGAGAGAGAGAGGTAGACTACTCATCTACCTCATCAACTACTCATCTACCAGAGGTTTTAGTGGTAGATGAGTAGTTGACGTGAATAGGGTGGACTACAATCTTTTATTTGGGTTACTGTACACACACATGATGGTATAGTGGATAGGTCTTATATGCCTGGTCAAAAAATTGTATGCTCATGTTAATATTGTCCGCAATCAGTATATAAAGGACTAATAAAATTCAGTTAACGTGCCCTCGTGATCAATATGTTTGATCCTTCAACGTGATTACAGCGTCATTGTCCCCTAATATACGTTCTTGCCTGGGACAATCAGTATTCGTCATCTCACCCGAGACCCCTTCACAACATGTCAGTATTCGTCATCTCACCCGAGACCCTTTCACCAACATGTCAGTATTCGTCATCTCACTCGAGACCCTTTCACCAACATGTCAGTATTCGTCATCTCACCCGAGACCCCTTCACAACATGTCAGTATTCGTCATCTCACCCAAGACCCCTTCACAACATGTCAGTATTCGTCATCTCACCCAAGACCCCTTCACAACATGTCAGTATTCGTCATCTCACCCGAGACCCCTTCACAACATGTCAGTATTCGTCATCTCACCCTAGAATCCATGATCCACGAATCAACTTTCAGAATGTCACAAGTGAGTTACTCATGCTCCAGCCAATGTTGGTAGTCTACGTTGCACCATTATCTATCATCATTGTCATTTTACTTGTGACTGTCATCACATAGTTAATGACTCCCTTTTGTCCTGGCAGTTCGTGTCTCTCATGTCATGCTCCCAAGCAGGACTCGTCATGTCATGCTCCCAAGCAGGACTCGTCATGTCATGCTCCCAAGCAGGACTCGTCATGTCATGCTCCCAAGCAGGACTCGTCATGTCATGCTCCCAAGCAGGACTCGTCATGTCATGCTCCCAAGCAGGACTCGTGGTGGAGAACTTAACCCATAAATCAGTGACCCTCCTGGCGTCAAATATGCAAGTTCAAAATACTTAATAATTACAATAATAATTCATTGTGTTGAGGTACAGGAAGCCTGTACGTATTCATACACTTAATGCTTATACCCAGGTCCCCTCCCCCCCCCCTCAAGGTCGAATTACTGACCCCGCCCAGGATGCAACCCCACAAGAAGCAAACTCCTGGGTACCTACTTACTGCTAGATGAACAGTCGCATTAGGTGAATGGAAATGTGCCCAACCATTTCTGTCCCGCCCAGGATTCGAACCCGGAGTTCTCGACTGTGCTTCGAGAACGAACCCTACTGTACTACAGGGACCCTACATGTCTAGGGTTTAGTGAAAGTCTAAGTAAAATCCACCAGTTTACTGGAGTGAACTTATCTACATGACACAGCTTTTCATATATATATATATATATATATATATATATATATATATATATATATATATATATATATATATATATATATATATATATATATATATATATATATTGTGGCCGGGTACACAACAACCTTCCCCGGTCTTCCAATCCTCCCCACCACTCCCCCCATCCCCGTACCCTTGTCCTCCCCTCCATTCCCCTCTATACCGTTTTTTTTTTGTCCTCCCCACCATCCCCCCACTCCTCCGTCCCCTCGTCCTCCTAACCATTCCTCACACCACAGTCCCCTTATCCTCCCCACAATCTCCCCCTCCCCCAACCCCTAGTCCTCCCCAAAATTACCCCCTCCCCTGTCTCGTCGTCCTCCCCACCATCACTCACTCCCGTCCTCTCGTCCTCCCCACCATTCCCCACTCCCTCGTTCGATGCATTCCCAAATGATCTGATGTTCATATCAGAGAATTGGGAACATCAAATGATCTGATGTTCCCATCACTGAAATATAAGAAAACATTTAAAAAAACAAATAAAAATAGTTAAAAAATAAACAAATAAACTATACTCACGAAATGAACGTTATGGTAAACAACTCAGCTCAATTCCAACGCAATGTCCTACAAAATAATTAAATCAAAATGAAAATAAATCGAAATATATGAAAATTAAATTTGATATTGCAATCGGAAATATTTAAATGGAATCATAACATATTTAGGATAGCGTGAGTTGCCCTTACATGCAACAGATGGCGTTGTTTCTTAAAAAAAATAATGTTTTTACCTGTCACAGGCATGGCATCTATACTTATACTTTCAAAATGAATGGTATGGTAAACAACACAGCTCAATTCCAATGCAATGACACAAAATAAATAAATCAAATTGAAAATAAATTGTAATCTATGAAAATTCATTTTATCAATGCAATCGGAAACGTTGAAATGGAATTGTAACACATTTAGTATAGTGTGTGTTGCTATTAGATGCAACAGATGGAGCTGTTTTTCAAAAAAGCATGTTTTTACCTGTTACAGGTGTGGCATCTATGTAGTAGGTATATAAAAACATGCGTGTATTCGAATGGAATGTTGCGTCAATATTTCAAAGCAATTGGTGAAGAACTTTCGGAGATTAAAGCGTGTTGCTATTCCGTCCAACAGATGGCGCTGCTTTTCAAGAAACACATAGTTTTACTTGTCACAGGGGTGGCATCTATACTTATACTTACGAAATGAACGATATGGTAAAAACATAGCTCAATTCCAACACAATGTCACACAAAATAATTCACTAAAAAATAAAATAAATCGAAATCTATGAAAATAGAATTTATCATTGCAATCGGAAACACTGAAATGGAATTCCTGACATATTTAGTATAGCATGCAAGTTGCTTTTATGTGAAACAGATGGCGCTGTTTTTCAAAAACGCATGTTTTTGCCTGTCATTGGGATGGCATCTATATAGCAGGTATATCAAAAGATGCGCCTATTCGAATGCAATGTTGTGTCAAAATTTCAAAGTAATCGATGAAGAACTTTAGGAGGTTGCAGTGTGTGTTGCTCTTACGTCCAACAGATGGCCCTGGTTTTTTTTTTGAAAGCATGTTTTTCCTGTCACAGGTGAGGCATATATATAGTAGACATATAAAAAGATGCGCTTATTCGAATGCAATGTTGTGTCAAAATTTCAAAGCAATCGGTAAAGAGGTTTCGAAGATTTCCCACACATGAAAAACAGTTTTTCAGAAAAAGCATGTTTTTTAACCGTCATTTATATATATATATTATATATAATTTATATATATATATATATATATATATATATATATATATATATATATATATATATATATATATATTATTAAATATGACCGAAAAAGTAAGATTAATAATTCTAACACGAATTTTCTCGATCTTTCTTATGTTTCTTTTCACTGTTGATGGTAATTGAAAAATCAATTCTCCAAAATTCATTTTTATTTCTAGTCTGACGCGACACTTGAGTGCGTTTCGTAAAACTTATTACATTTTCAAAGACTTTAGTTTACACACACACACACAACTATAACTGAATAAAGCTTAAACATCTTCGATTTTTTATACCTGCATTTGCGTGAGGTGATATGTTACAACAGTTTTGGATGAGGTGAAAACAAACTTTCAGCACAAGCCAGAACACGAAACAATGGGTATTGAAGGTAAGAATGGAAGTAATTGCAGAGGGCCTATTGTCCCATATTTCTTGATGCTTCTATATTGGAGCGGAGTCTTGAAGTGGGTAGAATATAGTTGTGCATTAATTGGCTGTTGATTGCTGGTGTTGACTTCTTGATGTGTAGTGCCTCGCAGATGTCAAGCCGCCTGCTATCGCTGTATCTATCGATGATTTCTGTGTTGTTTGCTAAGATTTCTCTGGTGATGGTTTGGTTGTGGGAAGAGATTATATGTTCCTTAATGGAGCCTTGTTGCTTATGCATCGTTAAACGCCTGGAAAGAGATGTTGTTATCTTGCCTATATACTGAGTTTTTTGAGGCTTACAGTCCCAAAGAGGGTATTTGAAGACATAGACGACGTTGGTCTCTTTTAAAGCGTTCTGCTTTGTGTCTGGAGAGTTTCTCATGAGTAGGCTGGCCGTTTTCTTGGTTTTATAGTAAATCGTCAGTTATATCTTCTGATTTTTGTCTGTAGGGATAACGTTTCTATTAACAATATCTTTCAGGACCCTTTCCTCCGTTTTATGAGCTGTGGAAAAGAAGTTCCTGTAAAATAGTCTAATAGGGGGTATAGGTGTTGTGTTAGCTGTCTCTTCAGAGGTTGCATGGCGTTTCACTTTCCTTCTTATGATGTCTTCAACGAAACCATTGGAGAAGCCGTTGTTGATTAGGACCTGCCTTACCCTACAGAGTTCTTCGTCGACTAGCTTCCATTCTGAGCTGTGGCTGAGAGCACGGTCGACATAAGCGTTAACAACACTCCTCTTGTACCTGTCTGGGCAGTCACTGTTGGCATTTAGGCACATTCCTATGTTTGTTTCCTTAGTGTAGACTGCAGTGTGGAAACCTCCGCTCCTTTCCGTGACTGTTACATCTAGAAAGGGCAGCTTCCCATCCTTCTCCATCTCGTAAGTGAAACGCAACACAGAATTCTGCTCAAATGCCTCCTTCAGCTCCTGCAGATATCTGACATCAGGTACCTGTGTAAAAATGTCGTCAACATACCTGCAGTATATGGCCGGTTTCAAGTTCATGTCGACTAAGACTTTTTGCTCGATGGTACCCATGTAGAAGTTCGCAAACAGGACACCTAGGGGAGAACCCATGGCGACCCCATCTACTTGCTTATACATGTGCCCATCCAGGCTCAAGAAGGGTGCCTCTTTAGTACAAGCTTGGAGTAGTTTCCTTGGAATGATTTCTGGTATGTCAAGAGGAGTACAGGCCGGATCACGATACACACTGTCCGCTATCATCCCGATTGTTTCATCCACAGGTACATTGGTAAACAGTGATTCTACGTCCAACGAGGCTCTTATCC